AATATGGTTCATGGGGTCACGAAGAGTCGGACACGACTTAACGACTAAACAACAAATATAGCTGCCCTCTCCAGAATGACACAAGGCAGTGCCCAATGAAAACAACATTCTGAAAAAGAAACATTCATGAAATAATAATAAAACATAGCTGGATCAAATAAATACATAAAAAATAAAAGCAGCTGCATATTCCGGATGCAACAATGGAAAGCAGTAAATAATTCTTACTAATGTCCCCCACTTATTGTTAGGACTACCACCAAGGATTCATTTGCTGCTTCAGCTCACTCCTCGTTAGGAAGCAAAGGAACAGTACTGTACCAATAGAAGAGAATGTATGTAGCTCAGGGTTGAACTGTGGAGTCCTTGGCGCTCTGAGCTTGGTTGTCTGCTGCTGATGTTACCTAGCTGAGTAATGAAATGTCTGGAAGCAAACAACCAAGCTCAGAAAGCATGAAGGATTGTACAGTTCTGTATGACATTAACCGCCCCACTTTCAAGGCCTCAAAACAGCTATTGGGCTTATAACAGACATTAGGGTGTGGGTCTCCTCTGCTTTTCACTGACAGGAAAAGAGAGGCTGGTAATATTCCCAAAGTAAAATGAGGCAGGAGTCAGGGCACAGCACTTTCACTGCATTCTTGGTCTTCTGGAAATCAAACTGGATCAAACAATCAGGGTCTCTTTGTGTCTACTACCACGAATACTCATCATAGCTCTCCAGCACTAAATACCCATATTTTTATTTGGCAGTTTGAAGCCCCAGAAATATATTCTGGAAGCTTTTCAAAGTAACAAAGTCTGGTATTTCCTGCAGTCCATTACAACTGGAAAAAGGGACCTGTTCTTTACTCAGATGGTCCCTCTAATTAACACATATAGAACTATGCATGGCTAGCAGAAATTAGCGAATTTCCTTATATTTGCTCACTTACCGGAATACCTAGAAGCTGAGGATCCACAGGTTGCCTGAAAGGTAAAGACTCTGGATCCTGGCGATACAAAGCTTCCAAGGTAGGCATGAGGGCCTGGCGCAACTCTTCAGGTTTAAAAACTGTTGAAAAAAATCCTTTTATTATCCACCCATCTATGCATCACAACAATTCTACACAATTCAAGGCAGTTTACCTTACAATTAATGCAATCAACCACAAGTCATTTTTATATTTTTCACGAAGTTTTTTAATCTTCGCAAATTTATACTTTGTTGAAGAAACTTAATTACAAAAGATGCAATGATCCCTGACCTTGCTCAGGCAACTTTAAGAAAGGATAAAACAAATATTGTTGGAGAAAGGATTGGTGACCGATAGCTAAAGCTAATAAAAATTGACCATACTCATGGAAAATATACCGCTTTCCCCCAGAGACTAAGGACAAGCCATAAGAAACAGTTATCTTTTAGCCCTGTTTCTCATTCTCCAGGGTACCTGGCTGGCTGACTCTTACTGAGAACAGAGTGATAATGCAAGTGAAGCTTAGGCCTGACTGCACAAGAGGCTTGACTGCTTTGTTGCCAAGCCTCAGAAGGTATTCAAGAGTTACAGAGATGCAGGCTTACTTTTTTTCCGTGACTGAGATGGTGATGTAGACTGTGATGTAGTGCCATTGCTGCTCCCATCCTCCTCTTCTTTTAGCTCAGATTTTTTCCCTTCTACCTCCATGGACTCTTGTTTGCTATCTACCCCATTAGTTTCTTCTTTGGTTCGTGCAGGTCCTGGTATGTCCTCCTCCAACTAAAAAGCAAAGGGAAAATAGAGTATTTATCTCGATGAGTACCTGTTTTTTTTCAGGTAAGCAAGAGAAGGTCATGCTTTTTGTTGACTCACTAATAATGATTTGGCCCTCAGTTACCTCAGGTTTTGGCTCCAGCTGAGCCTCGCCATATTCTGAGTCAGCTTTTTCCATCGTGACTTCTGGCTTATTTTCTTGCATTTGTGGTTCCTGACCAAGCTGCTGGGCACTGACATCAGCACTGGCAACAGAGCCGGGAGTAGGTATCCTGTTGTCAGTACTCGCTGCTGCTTGGGATAGCTGGCAAGAAAGAAAGAAAAAGCGCTAAGCACAAAAAGTTGCCTTTATAGATTGGCACTGAACCTGCAACATTAAACTAAGTTGGCTATCCGTGGACATCTCTGTATAGTGAATCTGCTTTGTCTACCCATCTTAGAATCCTCGATAGGAAGTCAAGGTAAGTCAGAGAATCATCTGCCCACTAACTTTTTTACTGTAAGCTGCCTAATGGTATATTTGAAGGATTGTGGCAGAATTTAAAGGGAGGACTGCTCAGTGTGTTGTACATGAGAGGCAACTGCAGAGGACCAATTGTCTGTGCATGCCACAAGCAAAGCTAATATAAAGCCCTTGAAAAACAACACACAGAATGATCTATATCTTGTAAACTTCCAGTTTAGAGCTGCCCTTAACGAGAGTCCAGAAATTGTAGATAATGCAAAATGCAGCTGTGAAGGGGCTAGCTGGAACCATCTGTCAGTGCTAAAACATCTGCTGTGACCAAAGTTCAACTAAACTGCTTCACTATTAAGCTCTTTATGGCTTGGGACCAAAGCAAACAATCCAGGATGGCAGGCAGCAACTAAAGGCTGCCTGTAAAAGAGTGACATTCTGTTACCCTTTTGATGCCACTCTGGGATGAGGGAAGAACTTTCTACTTTTCTAAGTTTTTAAAATGGCCTGCCTTTGCCCTAGATCATGAGTTTGGATACTGTTGTTTCACTTGCTGTTTGGTTTCCAAGGAACTTCCAGTCCCAGCAAGGCCACAGAAAGAGCAGACAGGGGAAAGATGAAACACTTACCGGAGTGCCGGGAGCCTGGGTTGCCATTGGCGGTGGCTGCGGCTGCAGGGGTTGTGGGGTTGGCACAGATGGAGGATGCACTGGGGTCTGAGGCTGTGGGGTGACCTGAGCCGGTGCTGCCATTTGGCCCGAAGGGGTGCTTTGCATCTGCATGGCGTTGGGAACTGAGCCGGCTGCTGGGGTGGGGGCTTGCCCTGAAGAGGAGGCAGGGGTGGATGGCTGGGCAGGCACAACTGGCTGTGGTGGAGTAAGTCCTGGAGGGGTTTGGTGTGGAAGAGGTGGCACTCCAGCCATAGTGGATAAAGGAGGTGCAGCCTGATGAAGGGGTGACTGGCTCACCGGAGGACACGAGAGCTGACTATTTTGTGATCCCAGTATGGTTACTGAATTAGGAACAGCACTGCCAGGAAGCTGACCCTGTTAGAAAAACCTATACTTAACATGATATATAAAAATTCACCAAATGCTTGCATGCGTGCGCACACACACACACACAAATCACAACACGTTTTATTCTTCTGCAAACAATAGCCGTTATGTTATGCATTCCCCACAACTAGGATTTAGTAAAAGACTCCACATTTTGCAAGTAACTACCCAAAAGGTATTGAAACCACGTGCCAGAAATGTCAAATAAATTTTAGCTTACTGCAAAACGTACCTGCGCTACTCCAGCCTGTGCTGCTGGCTGCCCTAGGGCTGCGCTGTTGACATTCAGAACTCCGCTAGAGGCAGGAAACTGATTCTGGGACAGGAACTGGGTTTGGGCAGCGGGCGGACCCAAGAGGTTGCCAGAATGACCTCCCATCACGTTTTGGGACTGAGGCATTCGGGAAGGAGACAGAGCCATCTAGTAAACAAAACAGCCTATCTCCATTAGGGTTCTGGACCACAGGTTTCAGGAGGGTTAGGGTTTATTAACTACAAAAGGAAGGAAGGCTTTGCAGTGAACCAAACACAATACTCCTTTAAATGGCTTATGCTCTATATTTCCCATATGTCCTCTTGTGTAACTTAGAGAGACAGGTGGGGTCACTACTTTAGACTGGTCATTAAATAATATCAGAGGCTGTGATACAGAAAATCAGTAAATATCGCAATAAATGCATTAACTAAACATTCAAATGTGGCAATACTGGAAAGGATGCAAAGCTGCCCTCAGCTGAACTGACTGTCTGAAAGCATTCTAAAAACTGAACAATGAGAAGGAAAATAATACAATACAAACCGTCGAAACAGAAGCCATGGAGTTCATCTGAATGGGATGGTTCAGTGGAGAAGCAGCACGAGGCCCGACTGATGCTGGAGGCATTTGGGCATTCCCTATGGACATGGAGTTAAACTGATTCACTCCTGCAAAATGTACCCCCAGAACAGCTCATTAGGCACACAACATCCAAGCCCTGCTTGGTACAGACCTCAAACAGGGGCAGGAAAACCTGGCCCATGCAGTTCAGTAAACGAGCAGGAAGAAAGAACAAAGAATGCTTCTGATGAACAAGGAAGGAAGCCCAATGAAATCCAACTGTCATAGCCAGGATTCAGCTGGATCTTTAGCAGTCAGGATTCTGGTCTAGATATGGGAGTGAAACCACCCTGGTTGCCCTCACGGTTGACTAACGGTGCGACCTGGAGGAAAGCAGGGACCCTCTTCAGTATTCCCCGTTCTGGGTAAGGCCGCAATTGGCACATGAGCCGAAACTGGGCAAAGCCCTCCAAGCCAGGGCTGCCTGTTTTTCCAACAGGAACCATGAGTCCAGAAGGACCGTCCAGTTGCAATTCCTCAGCTAGACAGACGAGGGGATGCCAAGAGGTTCAGAAAAGAAATCTTTTGCAGGGCCTTTGAAAATAACTGTTACCTTGGGTCAGTGGGGTTGGCCCCTGAGTATCTTGATTTATTTTACTATAAATATTGCAGTTTTCTTTTCCTGGGGAACCTTCAGAAGAAGAGGCCCGCCACAAGAGTTTTAAACTACTTCCCCTTCCTTCCTATTTTGAATATGATGTCTGTGTAATCCCACATATGAAAGAAGAGTTTTTACTTAGTACAGAGAGATGAAGTTCAATAAAACTACTGTATTCTGCCTGCAATACTGCTGACACTGAGAAACCTGTAAAGGTACTTCCTGAAATAAAGAGCAATATCTACATTCAGTTCTAAGTGGTAATCAGAAATGAGCCACAGTTATGTGAAAAATTCCAAGGATTTTATGATTTCATATTTTTCATGCACAGGACTGCTTTTGGACCTTCAGCTATTCCTCTTATGCCTCTTCTTTGGAAATATTCATGTCCAGTTCTTGGTGATAAGACAGCACAGGGATTCTACAGAATAGCTAACATCTGTAGATCATACTGAAGAGAAATGAAAAACTAGATTCTCAGACAGCTCTGTATTAGACGTTGCTGAAGGCATGGCACCAGTTTATAAGACTGCGCAAACCTTCAAGAAGATGCTTTGCTTTGATGAAGATTCAAGCTAAGCATCCACCTGAAGCTTCACATAACAATGCACGGCCAACTGCATCACCTCTTTCCTTTCCTTTTTTTTTTTTTTTTTGAAGTTAATAGGTATTCTGCCTCCTTGCACAGGTCTAACAGTTTAAAGCTGATTTTTGCAAAGCTTATCATATTTCTTGATCTTGTAAAGATGCTGGAATCTACTAAGACTCATTAAGAAGAGTTCCCATGATTCCAAGCCTTTGCTTTTTATCAGACTTTACAGAACATAGATACTATCTTTTCATCAGCAGAACTTCTGAAGTTTCTGCAAGGAAAGATGATTACAGTAAACCTCAATTTAATAGACACTTTGGGAGGAAGGGATGTCTGTTAACTCTGAATTTAAATAACTGACATAATTTATGTCATTTGTGTGATTATGTGAATGGCATAAATTGATTCAAATAACATAAAACATCAATTATGCCATTTTGCAAACAATGTAAATTGCTTCAGACACAATGGACAATGAAGTCCCAAGTAAAATTTGGAGGTCTAGAGAATCAAGGTTTTATTGAGAGATTACTGAGCAATTTGACTTGGGATAGAATGCTAATGGAAAAGATGGCATTGGAGAGGCCAGGTAAGCTACCCTGGCCAAAAACAAAATTCACAGCAGAGATGCTGAGAAAAAGAGGAAGCAACGGATGCTAAATACCTTGAGAGGCCTGCATACGGCCCAGAGGCACACTTGGCATGGATATAGGCCCATCTGTAAGAGAATGAATGCATGTTTAACTGACTGAATTCTGAATTAAGTTAGAATTCTTTGAGACAACATGTGTTTTAAAAAAGGTTAATTATTCATAAAATCAGAACATTAAAAATTGCAGATGGTGTCATCATCTTAAAAGATGGATTCTCCTGTCAATCTCCCACAAGAAAGTATGGAATAAGTAGCAGTTTTACTTTTACCAACTGGAGAGGTTCCCAGGGGTGGCGCTGTTATACTTTAGGAGCATAAACCTGCAGGTGCCATGGAGGTAAATCTTGTCTCTTAGATTATTAAACAAACATCTAACAGAAGCTGCAAGACATGTGAGAACTTGGTTCTTGATAGTACTTTGTCTATACTTCTGGAGCCCCACCTCAGATGAGCTCATGTACTCCCTACAATGATACCTAAAGGCAGTAATAGAGTGATGCATAATAAAATCAAGCAATCCATTTGGGGAGGAAGTGCTGGGAAGGGGTGATCTGGTTCATCTTTATCTTTATGGTGGGAAAAGGTCATATTTGTCTGCTTAAGAAAATTCATTTGGGTGTACTAGAGAGCCACAAAAAACCCGAACTTCCTTTCTGAGGGAGAGGTCCAGTAAATGTCATCTCTTCAAAATTTCAGAAAATGGTTGTAGATATAATAGGCTAATTCAAATTTGATCCTGCTTTCATGTGATTTTAATTTTTTTTTCATTTTTTAAAAATTGTAAGATGCTCTGATGGGATTTTTGAAGGGCAGAAGGATGTGTCATCAACATAAAAATAAGAACAAGCAAGGTTTTTCTTGTTCTATATCTTTAGTGAACCACTTACTGGGAGGTCTCACAGGTTGCGCTTGTCCCACAGTTGCTGCCACTGGCGGAATGCCAGGAGGTTGAGTCCCAGGGGCCTGTAAGGCTGGCTGATTACCCAAGATCCCTTGCTTATGCAAACGAGACCTCCGTTTCTCTTCTAGCTCTTTTTGTATCTTATATATTTTCTCTGCCAATAAATGGTAATATTCATCCTGAAAAAAGAGAATGCTAGGATCAGATCTTTGAATGCATTATAGAGAGCACAGTTTGAAGATATTATTAATTTGAATCCATTTTTGTACACAAACGGTGGCCATTTGAAGCAGTCACCTCATGAAGCTGAGCACCTATGTTGAAAAGATTCTTTCTGAACTTTGGCACAACACAGTCTCTAGATCAAAGAAAGGCAACACATCATCCTCTAGATGATGCTGGACATGATCAGCTGTAGCCAGTCTGGTCTAAGGTGAAGGATGATAGGAATTTAAATTGAACATCTGGACAGTTAAATCTTATCCATCCACCTACGCTCTAGAGGAAAGGAAACTTGGCTGAGCTGCTGCAAAATTCAAACAGGATAATGAGAGCAATACTGTGGATGCAATTTAATTGAACAGTAGTATAAACTGAAGATTAAATGGTAGTCTTTTATGTGCCTAAACACTAATACCATGCTTCGCCTCAATCTTCTTTTCTTCAGGTGGAACCACCCAGTTCTTTCAGCCTATTCTCATATGGTATGTCCTCAAGCCCCTGTCGTCCTCCTCTGAACCTGATTTAACCAGTCAGTATCCTTCTGGAAATGTGGTGCCCAGAAGTGTATATAGTACTCCTGACAGGGTCGCAGCAGTGCAGAGTAAAAGGGCTTTACGTGTCTTTGATACAAGGCTTTCACTAATGCGGCTGGGGAGGACAGTTCATGAACAGCATCGATATATAAGGTAAAGCTTCCTTGGAACTGAGCTTGGCTCCTTTTCCTGGCAGCAGTATGGAAGTGGTCTGCTGCTGCCCTTTTCAGCTTCCCAGGGGAGCCTACGGTTCCCGGGATTTCCTTGTAACCTCCTGTCCAAGGGCTAACAGAAACTGTATGTAGCTTTAGACTCCTGCAGTAATATGAAAATGCTGTAACATTCCAGACTTCTTCACTTTAGAAAAAGATGTTCCTATTGATTCAGGTGCTTGCCTTTAACCTGCAGATCTTCCTTCCTGTGGAAAAGAAACTTTCTAAGCAGTCACAACACTGAAGATTGGAGCTGATACATAATTCTGGCAATCTGTTAGATCGTTATGCTACATAGAAGAGCCCTGCAGTGGAAGCATGATCCTGGAGAAATGTACCAGAACAAAGAATTTTTTCAAAAGAGTGGCATTAGCGCTTGACATATCCAAATCTTTTTTTCAGATCAGTAACGTACCCTACTGTTCGCTGATTCATACATATCCCCTTCAACTTTCCTAGCATAAGCCACCAGATTCTCCATCCGACGATCTTTCAATGCTGCTGGATCAGGAGTTGGAAAAATGGCTTGTACGCTGCAAAAAGAAAAGATTTAATTCCCTTTAGAAACATTGCAAGGAAACACCATGTAGTGGACACACATTTAAAAATTCCAGCTCTTAAGAAATTCAATGGGAACTACTCTTTCTTCAGAATGACATAATTGAAACTTTGTCAGGCCTGGGGGTGGCACTGGGACAAAAGATGAAATTGGGAAGTGGAATAAATGCGTGAAGTAGTCTTTCTCATGAAATATCTTCTCATATAGTAAGGAACAAATCAATGTTTACTGAAATTAACCAGCTTTTCATATTATCTCCCAGGTCCCAAATCTAAGGAATGGCACTGTAACACAACATAATTAACAGACTAGTCTGATCCCACAGTAAGCTATGCCTACACCTGGTTAATACTTACAGTTTGTGTACTAAGTGATTGCGCAGATCCTGGGTGACATGCTCATGCCAGGTCTTCCTCACCCCGGTACTTGAAGGTGGTGCAGCTGTTGGCATAGAGCCACTGAGATTTCCAACACTGCCAGAATTTGTGCCATCACTCATTAAGGGGCTAAAGAAAAGGTAGTTATGGAACCTTTTGTAGATCTTTACTGTTCTGAAATTTATTTCTGTTTTTAAGTATCCCTACTGATGACAAAAGTTAAGAAATTACCAAACAATTGATTACAACAGCAAGCACAGGCAATGAAATTTTATTGTAATTTTGCCACTGAACCCTCCCTACCAACTCTGGAATCCCTTGGAAAGGGAGACATGAAATGTCCATGGAAAGTAATGTTATCAAAAACCTGTAATTTCTAACACTAGAAGTAATAGTCAGATGTAAATGCTCAACCAGCCTTTCTTACTTTGCTGTCCCAAGTGAAGTCGGAAGAGCTGTTTCTGAGATCATGGTAGTCTGTTGATCAGTTATTCCTCCTGCAGCTAGATTCATCTGATTAGCTCCTTTGGAACAAGATTATACCACATTAGTCATGGGACATTTTTAGACAGTTCTTATATTTATATTAACATAATTTATGGATGCACTGTAGGAAAAATCAAAAGTACTTTTTTTAAAAAAAATTACTGTCTCTAACTATATAACATTTTAATTATTTTTGCTTAAATGTTTATTGAAACTATCAATGAAATTGTATCCTTTATGGGCCTGAGGATACAAAGTAGTAAGAAGATTCTTCAGAAGCAATTATTCTCAAATAACAAAGTAAAACACATTTAAGTAAGTGATTAAAATGAGATGCAAATGAAGTGATAAAAGAGATATAAGCAACAGGACATGCAATGCAACCAGTGAAGATTAACTTATGTTTTCCACCAAGGTGCTAACTTGTCCTCTATCCTCAATCATCCAAACTTTGTGTACCAGGGATGCATACCGCCCTTCCAGAGAACAGATTCCATTTCTTCTCTGAATCGCACAGATTGAATGTTCTGGGAGGACCCTTGAGAACTGAATGATTCCATTCTTTACCTCCCTCAAGGTTCTAAAAACTCTTAAGCATGGAGAAAACTCCTTTCGAGTAAAGGAAAAGAACGTATCCCAGTTTCCAGCCAAGGCCAGCCTTGCACTTGTCATGGATTGATTCTTTGCCCTCTACTCATCCCCAACTTCCTGACTGCTGCTAACATCAACTGAAAACCATTCTCATTTTCTCTCTACTGCTAGAAGCAACTTCCATGCTTACCCAGTGCACTGATGGTCCTCATTTGCTGGTGGGTTTGAGGTGGTGTAGGCTGCTGGCCTGGTACCTGTGGCTGCAACGGTGCCTGTGGTTGATTGCCATAGGGTAGGCCAAGAGCAGCATAGGCTCGTTGCATGGAACTGGGATCAATAGGGTTGGGATTAGTTAGGGAAGGAGTTATGGGCTGTCCTGTTCCAGATGCCACAGAATTCTGAATCCCACCAGCTGGTGAGCCAAGGAGAGCTAGGGGAAAAAAAAAGTACTGAATTTCTTCAGAATAATGCAATACATACATCACATGCTAATGCACAAATTGTGAAAAATTGAAAGACTTGCTCACGACTCAAACACATTTCTTAATCTGTGTTCTCCCATGAGATAAGTTAAATTAAGAGAGCTATGATGGACTGAACATGAGCTTTGGGGCTGAATGGAGATCCAAACTCGAGTCTCCCCAGTTCTACTCTGATACCTTGAAATTTATACCACACATTCTCTCAAGTTTTAATTCTTGCTCAGTTATTGCTCTTAGTCTTAGTGGTTCACTTCCAAGATATCTCAGGCATTTTTAAAGGGATCATTCAACCTGTCGGTAAATTCACGTTAGGGTTACAGTTTGTAAATACTCAGTAGTACATGCATTTCTTGATGAATCAGGCATTTCAGTAAGGAAGACACTCCCTTCTGTTGATGTATAAGCACATACAAAGGAATCATTATAGGCACTGCTTCACCTCAAGATCAAAATATTTCCTCCTCTAGAATACTTGTGTAGTTTTCAGCATACAATTTATCCAACAATTGCCTTGCAATACTTATGCTGCTGAATTGTTTCCTGATAAATGACTGAACTATGTTAGTGAAGTATATGAAGTTCTCAACCATACAGAAATGAGTTCACTGAAAAAGCAATCTCAGCAATTTTTTCACTAATTATCTCTTACAATTACAGTGGGGCAAAAAAGTATTTAGTCAGCCACCAATTGTGCAAGTTCTCCCAC